AGCCCATTCCTCACATCTGTTCCACAGTGGAGGCTCTCACATCATCACCATCATCATCATCACGACCACAGTCGTCACCATAGCCATCATCACCGTCGTCATCATCATCAGCATCACCCAGCTTTGCCTCCTCCTCATCAGTGCCATCATCACCACTACAATCACCACCACCATCATCGTCTTCATCACATCATCTTCATTATCATCACTGTCATTCCCAGCTCATCATCATCAGCATCACCCAGCTTTGCCTCCTCCTCATCAGTGCCATCATCACCACTACACTCACCACCACCATCATCGTCTTCATCACATCATCTTCATTATCATCACTGTCATTCCCAGCGTCACCAGCATCTTCCTCCTCCTCTCCAGCATGACACCATCATTTCACAGTCATCATTGGATGAGGAAACTGAGGTTCAGAGAGGTTAAGTCACTAGCCTAAGCCACACAGCTAGTGAAGGTAAATTCAAGCCCAGGCTTGCTCCAGACTGTACAGCCTGACTTCTTAACCATTGAGCTACCTTGGCTCTCTGTCCTTGAACTCTAACAGGCTCAGGATGAGGCTGTCTCGGCTAGGTGCCACAGGCTGACCATCCTCTGAGACGAAGATTCCTACCTTGGACATCGTGTCAAATCCAGCTCACCCCACTAGCTCTGCCTCACTTCTTCCTCCACCCACTAAGGCTGCTGTCCTGTTCCTGACAACCTATTTCTTTTGGCCCTCCTGTCCAGTTTTACCCTATGGCATCTGTCTGTTCCCCAGCTTGGGCAATACAGCTTTCTCTCTGGCCCATCTCTGTCTTGGTCCCAGACATCCAGGCTGCCCCTTGTCTAGCCCTCTGTTCTATGTTCCCAGCTTTGGGGACCCCTCTGTCCCCCAGTCTGGTGAAGTGGCAGTCATTTGGGATGAATCAGAAGCCAGAGCCCAAGCTCTGAGTGCATGGCCCTGCGTGGCCTCTCCAGCTGCTCACATGGGGCCAGCCAGACGCCCTTCCTCCTTGCTGTGTTTCACATAGTCTCTGTGGCCCACGTCAAAGCCATTTCCACTCTCCTGCTTGGAGAGGTTTGCATTTGTCACAGAGAACATTCTGTTTTACCCTCTTTAAAATGTCACCAAAACATATCCAGAGTGGCTCTTGATTACAGACATTTCCCAAGTCAATGGTTTACTTACATGGTGATAAACAGAGAAATGGTCTGTTGAGAGGGCTGCTCAAAATGTCACTCAGCTCCCTTTCAGCTCTGAAACTCCCGATCCTATGATATCACATGACCGTAAATGGGGATTGAGCAGAGAAGGGAGGAGGTTAACACATTTTAAGCATCTGTAACATACCAGGCACTTGCACCGAAATTATTTCATTTAATCTCAACAGACACTAAAAGCCCTATTTTACAGATGAAAAAACTGAGCCCAGAGAGGTTATGGAAGTTTCCCAAGGTCCCGTAGTGAGCACAGAACAGAACTGGAATTTGAAACTAGGTCTCACTGATGGTCAGCCCAGATCCTTCCTTTTTTTAAACAGAGATTGGAAAAACCGGTCAGGATGCTCCTCAGCTAGAGGCTACAGAGCAAGTAATGTAACATCTCTTGCTGAATGAGGCCAGTTTGCAAATTTACAGGGTACAACTACCTTGGCAACTCTGAAATGGATCACATTGCTTGTCTTGTGTGAATATGCAGGGAGTTTCTTTTCTCGTCATCCTTTTTTTTTTTTTAAAGCCATTAACACCTTTGTTTAAATAATGCAGTTGAAGTGTTTTGCCAACACAAACTTATTTTAGAGTCCTGTGTCATGAGCTCATGAGCAGGGGAAGGATATTTTTAATAGAGGACCACGGGGAATATCCAGGTTGAACTGTTTTGCTTCCATTCATCAAGGAGCAAAAGCAGAAGTAGAGAGCTGGTAGGTTAACTCACTCAGTTAGAGTGTGGTGCTGATAATACCAAGGTCAAGGGTTCAGATCCCTGTACAAGCCAGCCACCAAAAAAAAAAAAGAAAAGAAGTAGATTTTAGTTAGATTCCCAACCTACAATCTGTCAGTGATAAACAGATCTGAGGGAAATATCTGGTTTATTGCCATGAATCTGCTCACCCTGGGATGTACCTGCTTGATGGGTTTGTATGAGCAGTATAGCACGTTGGTTAAAAACACAGGTGGTGGATTGGGAGGAATGGGTTCATCTCTTGGCTTTGCTAGTGGGAAGCTGTGCAACTTTGGACATTTAACCTATCTCAGACTCCATTTACTCATCTCTAAAATAGGGTTAATAATAATATCTGCAATGGTTAAATAAAGTAAAGCTTCCAGCACTTAGCAGTGTGCACCTGCTATCACTCCTACTACTAATTTGTTTATGGGATGAGCAGATAGAAACAGAGAAGGGAACTTCTAGTTCCGTATAGCAGAATGATGATTCCTCTAAGTCAGCACTATCTAGCAGAACTGTGCAATGATGGAAATATTTCATGTCTGCACTGTCCGGGATAACAGGCACTAACCACATGTGGCAACCGAATACTTGAAATGTGGCCACTGCCACTGAGGAACTGAACTTGTAATTTCAGTTAACTTTAAATTTAAAGAGCCATGTGTGACTCGTGGCTGCAGCACTGGACAGAACAGGCACTAACCACATGTGGCAACCGAATACTTGAAATGTGGCCACTGCCACTGAGGAACCGAACTTGTAATTTCAGTTAACTTTAAATTTAAAGAGCCATGTGTGACTAGTGGCTGCAGCACTGGACATTGCCACCTGAAGCCGTCATGTCTCTGAAGAAATGAAGACACACATGGCTCCTAGCTGAGAAAGGGGGCGTTTTCCCTGGGGGCTGGGGGCATAGGTGGGGATGTCTGTACTCAAATCTCTTCTGAGCTGCCCTGTCTTGTTCATGGAGTCCAGACATCTGGGAATTCTCCACTTCCCTTCCAGACTCCCAGCTCCCACTCCCATCCTCCCTGGCCCTGATGGCTCCACCCTCCCCCCTTCCCGAGGAGCACACTACATCCACTCCTGTCTTTACACTTTGGCTGACCCTGGATGACTTTCATCTTCCCTCTGCTGACAGCCAACTCCTACTCAGCCTTCAAGACCCACTTCACGCCCCACCTCTCCTGGGGACTACATGAGGTCACACATTTAAAATGCCTAACTCATAGTTGGCACTAACTAAACATGAGCTATGTTTATCTTCATTTATGACTAAGGAAACTGAAGCCTGGAGAAATTAGGTAACTTGCCAAAGGTCACACAGGCAGGGAGCACTAGAGGAAGCTGGAAAATGGGTGTCTACTCGCTGTCGTCCTACCTGAGACACTGTCAACAGGGCTTATTGGGGGACCCCAGGGGAGCTGTGTGGTTGGACCTCACACTATGAAGAATCTTAAATGTAAATATTGGATGTTTCTTCCAAATGAGGTTGATGTGTTGAATATACTCATCTGGTAAATGCAATTTTGGCAACTCTGTTTTAT